GGGCCACTTAGCAAGTGGTGAGGGGACTGGGGGCTCACTGAGGTCAGCTATGGTTTGCTTGGCAGGATTTAGGAAGTTTTGAAATTTGTGCCAAGACCAGCCATTCATATGGAAAAGCTACTATTAACAGCTTTCAGTTGGGTGGGATGGAGCCTTGGGGGATATCCAGGGTGGAGCACACAGAGTTAGCTAGGTTGATGGAGTCTCAAATATGGCACCCAGCTCTGTGACTGTGCCCACCTTTCTGTCCTGTAGAAAGCTGTCCCCTACCTCCTGCCCTGACACTAGCTACTTCAGTTTCTCCCTGTGTGCCATTGCTGCCTTTCAAGTTGCTACCCCAGTGCTGGAACTTAAAGGGAGTGAGTCTGAGTAGGTGAGTCCCTGTGTGATTTCTTTAAGAGGAACTGCTTGGGACTTCAGAAGTTTCTTGTATGAACTCAGTACCTGCTGGGTTTTGGAGCCAGAAGTTATTGGGACTTATCTTCTGGCACTGGAACCCTGGCTAGGGGGCTTGGCATGTGACTGAGACGTCTTGCTCCCAAGATGTCTCCCCTGATTTTTATTTATCATATGTGGGTATAGGAGCAGCTAGTTCCAAGTCTCGCACCGTCTTGCTTGTCTGGGTGGATGTGGTTTCTTTAATTCCATAGTTGTCAGTGTCAGACTTCCATTCAACTCAATTTCTGTCAATTCTGAGTGATGGTTGTTCTATAGTTTAGTTGTAATTTTGATGTAGATGTGTGAGGAGGCAAGCCATGTCTACCTAGTAGGCCACCATCTTGACAGGAAGTGATCTTAATTTTAATTGTATCTTTGGCTGAACTTTTCTTGTAATAGCCCTCTTCTGCCATTTGTTTTTTCTGTACTTTTTCTTCTTTCTTTTTTATGCATGCTCTGTTTGCACAGGTTTGATCTGTGATGGTTCCGTTTTATTTTTCATCTTTAAAGTAGGTGTGTACCTTTGGAACATGTTTATAGGAGGTTCATGAGGAGATAGCCATGAAGTTCTCCTATGAACTTCAGCCATAATGACTTCTTGCTGCTTCAGAGGTACAGTGGTCCCTGCAAGGATGGATTTACATTAATTCTTCTTTCAGGAGGAGTTACCAATTTTTTTTCTTTGAAGTTGTCACATTTCTCACTATTTTTTCATTCAAATTAATTTTAATTTAAAGATTTGTGGCTTTCATCAGCTCATGTAACTTTCCTTCCACCTGTTTTTAAATTTTTTTTCTGCTTTTTTTTTTACTCTTTCTTTAATTCATATTCTGTATGTGTTAATCTTTTGGGATTGGTCATACATTGTTTATTTATTTATTTTTAATTTCTTTGACTTTTTCTTCACATTATATGCGACATTCAACTTTATCTTCCATACTAATTAATTTTAACTTTATTATAATAATATTTTATGTTCTTATATTTCCATATTATTTATAATATCTGAGATTGGTGTGGTTCTTTAATTGCCACTGTTACATAGCAGAGCCTTCTGTTTTTCAATACTATAGCACCTTAAATCTTGACCCCATCTGAGGAGTTCAGTTAGTTAGATCTCTAAAAAATTCTATTTTTTTGTCTGAAATAGCTCTCATATTTTTTGAGGGGGTTCATATTTATATCCTTTTTCATGTTATTTTCTTCAAAAGTATAGTGACCTTGGTTGTCTATTATTAATATGCAATTGCCTATTTAGAGATCTAGAAATGTTTTCTTCTTTATTTTCTTTTTCCTTTTGGTCTTGGAAGTTCCGGGTTGCCTTTGTCTCTGCAATCCTTTCTTTTAAGTAAATACTTACATACTATTTATAATGAGCTTATATTCTTTCGATGTATACTCTAATTTATTGGATCTGCTTTCATCTCATTTCACTGGTATATATGTTCTTGCTATAATTTCATATATTCTTTTCAACTTAATCCCTATAACTTCCTAACTTCTAGAAAAAAATTTAAGTTAATGGTTTACTAAAGGTAACTTTCTTATATCCCATCACAGTTTTTTTTGAAAAATAAATGTCATTTCTTAGCAAGAACATAATTTTTCTTTTTGTTTTTCTCTTCTTTTTCTCCTTATCTTTAGGCTTAGATAATATGAAGAAAGGTGCTTGTTTTCAATTGTTCTCCTGGTCTCATCTCTCTAAAATATTAATGACTTTTTTCTTAAGAAAATCTTAAAAGTATCTAAAATCTGAAGAGTTTAGACAAGATGTTTATATTTTATAGCCTATACTTTTTAAATTTATAACTTACTTTGGAAGCTTATATACAGGAACAAATTAGTGACTTTTGTATGTATTTGGCTATTTGATCCTGCTGTTTCTACCTCTTTGTCATCTCTGAAATATTGACTGCTCTCTAATCTAGTAGTATGATTTTTTCATTTGGTTTGTTTAGGTCTTTCTGTTTTCCTTGCTTCTAGTTACTATTCTGAGAAATAATGCAATTCATCTTCAAAACTGAGATAAAATTTACAACTTATCAGCCCTGGCCTGGTGGCTCATTTGGTTGGAGCATCATTCCATACACCAAAGGGTTGTAGGTTCAATTCCCAGTCAGGTCACATACCTATGTTGTGGGTACTCTTTCTGATCAAGGTGCATACAGTGAGGAACCAATCTGTGTCTTTCTTTCTTTCTTTCTTTCTTTCTTTCTTTCTTTCTTTCTTTCTTTCTTTCTTTCTTTCTTTCTTTCTTTCTTTTCTTTTCTTTTCTTTTCTTTTCTTTTCTTTTCTTTTCTTTTCTTTCTTCTTTCTTTCTTTTTCTCTCCTTTCCTCTCACTCTAAAATCAATAAGCATATCCCTGGGTAAGGATTAAAAAATATTCACAATTTATGAACTACCTTCAAGAACAAAAGCTAAATTCTTCAACATGACTCTTCTTACTTGGTCACTTTCTTGATGGTCTTTTCTAGACTCATCTTTGTGTATGTTTTCTTTATCTGGAATTGCCTTCATTATTGAATCCTGTGTCTATTTGGGGAACATGTCTGTTACCTCATGGTAAAGTTCTACTCTTTCTCTTTTGTGGTTCCAGCACTTTATTTATACTTGCTTGTGGAACTTAATACAGTTTTGTAATTATGTTTATAACTGTCATTCTGCTCTCCTGCTGATAGTAATTCTCTAATAAGTAGTCATAATGCTTCTAGAAAACCGTCAGGTATAGAAAAATGGGCACTTATTAAATACTTGAATAAACAGTGGGTTGCTAATATTTACCATCATTTGAGCTTATAAGTCATTTAGTGATTTCTTTGAAAAAAGAAGTTTTCTGTTAAGAGTTCATGTCAATGAGAAGTCCTGGAAGAAGGAAATAGCTGTTAGAATGGAGGGGAAAAGAGGATAGAAGTAGATTAGATCAGGCTCATCGAGTATGAAGACCAATCCTGTTTTGTACAGCTAGGGAAGCAAAGGGTCTTAGGAGAAGTAAGTTGAGCAGGTAAAACTAGAGGTACTCAGATTAGGTCTAAAGATTTAGACTGTTAATTACTATAACAAAATATTTTAAGATTTTAATGAAACTGGCGTCCTCAGAACAACAGTTAAATTTAGTGTTCACACTACTAACCACTAAAAGAACTGTCACATAGCAAAAACATATCCATATATTTTTGTGAAGAATACTGTGTGCTTTTGTTGAGAATAAATCATAAAGCTAGCAATTGTTATGACAAAAAAGGAGGCTTGTTTGCTATGTAACTGGAGTGACTAATCTTTCCACATTGATTGTGTGTGAATGTAATGCCTACCGTGTACAGGGAGAGCACTCAGTCAGGTATTCTGGGAGTAGCAGAGATTAGAGCATGGGTCCAACTCTTAAGAATTTTATTTTTTGTTAGGCCCAAAATAGGGCTAATTAAAGGATTTATTAGTTATCAAAGCAGTGTGTTAGTCAAGTACAGAGCAAGACATGGAAAATGGAGATTAAGTCCTAAAAAAAGTCCAAAACAAGGAATGATATAATTTAGATAGAGGAATGACTTCTTCCTCTATCTAAAAAAAGTGGAGCAGTGAATTTTCATCTGAGTCTTTGAGGGAGATAATGGACCTGGATAGACAATGAGTTACTGCAAGTGGGTAGCACAGTAGCAGCATGTATGGGGGGAAGTGAAGAGGCAGGGCAGGTGTGTTTTGTGTATAGCAGGAGATTGGTCAGTTGGTTGGCTAAAGAAGTATTTTTAGCACTTAGCAATCAAAAAGCATCTTTCTGCTTTATAGCATGTTTTTTTCTATAGAAAGCCACTAAATTTGTGGTGTTTTTGTTAAAGAGAACTTAGACGTGTCCATACCCTACATTTCAAATGATAATGAAGTGCATACACATAAGAAATGGTAGTTGTAGCTTGACTAAATTAGTATATGATAAAGGGTAAAGAGACAATGTGGTAAAGATACACGTGGTTTGAATCAGTAAAGTGGGATTAAATAATACCTGCTTGACAGGTGTGTTAGAATAAAATGAAATAACACATTCAGTGCCTCACACTTACTAGGCAGTTAATGAGCTAATTGTCTCTCCTGTTCTACTTCTCAATTCTAAGGTTACTTGTGTAAAAAAAAGAGAGATGCTGGAAGGATGTATGATCATTGGAACTGTCAGAAGAGATGTGGCTTGTCTTGGGCTTTGGAAGACTTGTGGGTTTTAGTGAGTAAACATTACAAACAAAGAGATGGGAATACAGAATCTGCTTTGGGGAGCTATGGCAAGCTTTTGTTGAATGGCAGAAGTGGTTTGGAAGGCAGGCTTGGAACTTAGAAGTTGGCTGTCCTCATGTAGCACTCTTTTTCTGCCTGTATCCCAACTTGTACATGACTGTGTCTAGTTTATCACCATGTGTTAGTCCCTTTGGTAACTAGAAATCAGAAGTTGACCACTTTTTAATTTCCCAAAGCAAATGGCATAGTATTTTACACATAGTAATGCCCTCAATACTTATTTATTGAGTTAGTGAAACAAACACTTAGATACATCAGAAACCAGAGCTATTGAGGATGACAGTTTATTCTGATAATATATCAAATTATGTAGTACAGTGTGGGAGAGAATATTGTTGGGTTCGAAGGGTAGAGTGTCTTGGAGATGGCCAGATGCGGTTTTCACTTGGCTTATTAACTTATATATTTTGTGAACTTGGGCAAGTTCTTGTTCAGTGTGTACTTCTATCTGAGACCATTTTGCTCTTCTGACCTTAGTTTCATCATCTGTGGAAGAGCTAGTGCCTGCCTCAGACCTGTGAAGATTAAATGAAAACTAGCTCAGTGCCTGGCTCATTGGTTGCTCACATCCATATTGTTAATAATCATCATAATAGTTATTTTTGTTATTCTTTAATTCACATTGAAACCTTGATATATACATTTTGAATGGCAAAATTCACTCATTCTCTCAAAATATTGAACAAAAACAAAATAATGGACAGTACTATTCTATAGTACTTCATTACTGACCATGCTATATTAAGTTCAAAGTGCTATTATGTCAAAATTTCATTTTTCAAAATAAAGGCTCATTTTAGTACTAGGCACATTTTAGGCCTAGTACTTTGTGGTAGGAGTTCAAGAGGTGTTTTTTTAGCACCTGGTTGGGCTCTTCTAGTCCTTATACAAACTTGATTTCCTTAATCCTCACAGCAACTCCAAAATTGTTGGCCATAACTTTTTATTCTCTTTTTGCAGCAGCTGAGGAAATTAAGGCTCTGGTGACAAAGTTAGTGAGTATGAAAGTCATTTATAGTAATGATAAAAAGGTAAGTTTTGAGTCAGTGTCTACAGTAAGTAGGAAGTGAGCTAAAGCAAGGTTGATATGAACACTGAAGAAGGATTGCTGGAAAATGAGACTGCTGTATTAAGTTTGGATGTCATCTCAGTCTTTCAGCCTGTCGACTATGAAAAGTATATGTAGGTTTCATTTTCAAAGACAGATACCTTTTTGGTCGTAGAGAGTCAAAGAATGCCACATTTTCTCTTTGTGGTTTGCACTGAAAACATAATGAACTTCAATTTTCTAGTGTTTCAAAGAGATGATATATCACAAGTCAGCAGTTAGTTGTCTCTCAAATATTATGAAGCCATTATAGAGCAGGCATGCTGGGTAATAAATATAGACATAATTATGGACATTGCTTTGACTTAAAAGATTCAGTTTAGTGTTTAAAAAGCTCCAAAGTATGTTGTAAAACAGCCTCTTTGATATCCATATACCTAGATTCAAATCTTGGAGTTGGCTTTGAGAACTTTAGTCTGTATCCACATCAGTTATCAAATTCTGCACATTCTTTTCCCCTTTTCACATTTCAAAGAAATGCCATGTCTTTCATGAAGCCTGCTGTGATCTCACCTCTGATGTGTAGTTTCTCCAGCCTTGGCACATCCCAGCTATTTGGCATTTAATTACTGTTAGATTTACTTAGCCTACACCTGAGTGTGATTTTAAAAAACATGTATAAACACTTCTGGCCAAGATGGAGGCATAGGTACATATATTTTGCCTCCTTGCACAACCAAAAGAAGGACAACAAGACATTTAAAAATAAGAATAACCACAACTGCTAGAAAATCAAACTCTATGGAAGTCCGAGTTTAATTCTTTGGTTAAAAAAGAATTAAAGAAGATACATTCATTCAGACTGATAGGAGGGGCAAAGACAGGCAGATGTTCTTGAGAGGACACACAGCAAGGCAGTGGCTATAGGACCAGGGTGGGTGAGGCAGTGGCTGACAGACCTGGTGGTACCACATTTGTGTGTGGATAAACCAGGGTGAACAACTGGGGAGTTAGACCACACAACTCAGGGTTCCAGCATGGGGAAATAAAGGCTCAAAATCTCTGACTGTAAAATCCTGTGCAGTTTGTGGGGGCAGGAGAAACTCCCAGCCTCACAGGAAAGTTCACTGGAGAGATATCCTAGAACCCACCCACCTGGGAATCAGCACCAAAAGGCCCCAGTTTGCTTGTGGGTTGCAGGGGAAGTGACTGAAAACTGGCAGAGAGCCAAGCAAGCGCCATTGTTCCCTCTTGGACCCCTCCCCCACAAACAGCACCACAAGACAGTTATGTGGGTTGCCCCACCCTGGTGAATACCTAAGGCTCTGCCCCTTACTATGTAACAGGTATGCTGAGACAAAAAAATATGACCCAAATGAAAGATCAGAGCTCCAAAAATAGAACTAAGTGATGAAGAGATAGCCAGCCTATCAGATACAGAGTTCAAAGCACTGGTAATCAGGGTACTCACAGAAATAGTTGAGTATGGTTGCAAAGTGGAGAAAAAAATGAAGGCTATGCCAAGTGAAATGAAGAGAAATGTACAGAGAACCAACAGTGAAGGGAGAGAAACTGGGACTCAAATCAATAACTTGGAGCAGGAGGAAGAAATAAACATTCAACCAGAACAGAATGAAGAAACAAGAATTCAAAAAGAAATTAGAAAAGGCTTGGGAACCTCTGAGACAACTTTAAACATTCCACCATCTAAATCATAGGGGTGCCAGAAGGAGAAGAGGAAGAGGAAGAAATGGAAAACTTACTTGAAAAAATAATGAAGGAGAACTTTTCAAATCTGACAAAGGAGACAGACTTCCAGGGAGTCCAGGAAGCTCATGGACCCAAAGAAGTTGGACCCAAGGAAGCACACACCAAGGCGCACATCATAATTACATTACTCAAACAAATTTATCTTCAAGATTAAAGAGAAGGAGAGAATATTAAAAGCAGCAAGAGAAAAGGAGACAGTTACCTACAAAGGAGTGCCCATCAGACTATCAGCTGATTTCTCAAAAGAAACCTTGCAGGCAAGAAGGGGCTGGAAAGAAGTAGTCAAAGTCATGAAAGAGAGGGACCTACATCCAAGATTACTCTATCCAGCAAAGCTTTCATTTGGAATGAAAGGACAGTTAAAGTGCTTCTTAGATAACATCAAGTTAAAGGAGTTCATCATCACCAAGCCCTTATTATATGAAATGTTAAAGGGACTTATCTAAGAAAAAGATGATAAAGAAATATGAACAGTAAAATGACAAATTCACAGCTATCAACAACTGAAACTAAAAACAACAAACTAAGCAAACAACTAGAACAGAGTCACAGAAATGGAGATCACATGGGGGATTATCAACAGGGAGGAGGAGGGGGGAGAATGGGGGAGAAGGTACAGGGAATAAGATGCATAAGTGGTAGGTACAAAATAGAGAGGGGGAGGTTGGGAGTAGTATAGGAAATGTAGAAGCCAGAGAACTTATGACCCATGGACATGAACTAAGGGGGAGGGATTTGGGCAGGAGTAGGGGTGCAGGCCAGAGGGGAATAAAGTGGGGGGGAGGGACAACTATAATAGCATAATCAATAAAATATATTTAAAAAATAAAAAGCAAGTATAAATAGATATCTCTATTCCACTATGAGGCAGCAACCATACCTTATTCATTAATATGTTTTTACTGTCTCACTCAGTGCCTGGCACATTGTGGATACTTTGCTTCATGATTTAGTAGATACATTTCTTTGATCATGATGAAAATGCATATTTTGAGACTAGAGGTCACATTTCTTTGTAATATTCAGAGACTAAATGGAGAAAAGAGGAAAGAAAAAGTAAATATAGGTAACAATCTTGAAAATAGGTAGTTACTATGGGCTTTGTTATTGTTATTCTGCCAAAATGGTTAAACCAGCTCTTTAGTTCACAAACGGTGACTCCCCTCCCAGTATTAGTAGATTTTTGGTGGAAGTTTTATCTATTTATATATCTATTTATTTTTCTTATTGACACTATTAGAGATGGCCCCTTCCCCATGCCCTTTGCCAGCCTCCACCCAGATGCCTTTCCTGCTGCCACCCCCGCCACCGGCCTTCTCCACACTATGGTCTGTGTCCATGGACTCTGCATGTATATGTTTTTTGGTGAACTCCTCATCTTTTATTTAGTCTGTCCCTGCCCAGCACCCTTCCATCTTACAGCTACCAGTCTATTCCATGTATCCATGCCTCTGGTTCTGTTTTGTTCCTCTGTTTATTTTGTTCATGAGATTCCACATATAAGTGAAATCATATGGTATTTGTCTTTCTCTGACTGGCTTATTGCACATAACATAATGATCTGCAGGTCCATCCATGCTGTTGCAAAGGGTAAGATTTCCTTCTTTTATATAGCCAGGTAGTATTTCATCGTGCAGATGCACAAAAGCTTTTTTATCCACTCTTCTACTGATGGGAACTTGGTCTGTTTCCAGAACTTGGCTATTGTAAATAACGCTGCTACGAATATGGAGGTGCATAAATTAATTCTCATTGGTGTTTTGGGATTCTTAGGGTATATTTCCAGAAGTGGGGTTGATGGGTCGAAAGGCATTTCCATTTTAATTTTTTGAGGAAACTGAACTGTTTTCCACAGTGCTTATACCAGTCTGCGTTACCAACAACAGTACACTAACTAGGGGTTCTCACCAGCACTAGTTGTTTGTTGATTTACTGATGGTAGCTATTCAGGCAGATGTAAGGTGATACCTCATTTTAGTTTTAATTTGTATCTCATTTTTAAAGATCTGACTGGATAAAGAACAAATGAACGACTCCAAACTAGATGTGACCTTTTTTTTAAACTTTGTTTCACATTAAAGTTTTTTTCAATCACAGTTTACATTCAATATTAATTTGTATTAGTTTCATGTAGTAGTTAGGTAATCATATACTTTACAAAGTGTTCCTCTGATATTTTCAGTACATATCTGGCACAATACATAGTTATTACAATATTATGACTATATTTCCTATGCTGTACTTTACATCCCTGTGACTATTTTATAACTACCAATCTTTACTTGTCAATCCCTTCAGCTTTTTTCCAGTCACCAAACTCTTCTCCCCTCTGACAGCCATCAGTCTGTTCTCTGTATCTATGTCTGTTTCTGTTTTGTTTGTTTATGTTGTTTTTAAGATTCTACATGTAAGTGAAATCATATGGTAATTGTCTTTCTCTGACTGACTTATTTCACTTAGCGTAATACCCTCTAGGTCCATCCATGTTGTTGCAAATGGTAAAATTTCATTCTTTATTGTGTACGAGTAATATTCCATTATATATTTTTTATCCACTTTCTGTTGATGGACACTTAAGTTGTGTTGCTTTCATAGCTTAGCTATTATAAACAACACTGCTGTGAACATAGGGATGCATATATTTTTTCAAATTATTGTTTTGGGTTTTTTCAGGTAAATCCCCAGAAGTGGAATCGCTGGGTCATAAGGCAGTTCCATTTTTAATTTTTTGAGGAACCTCCATGCTATTTTCCGTAGTGGCTCCACCCATCTGCATTCCCACCAACAGTGTGTGAGGGTTCCCTTTTCTCCACATCCTTGCTAACACTTACTGTTTGCTGTCTTATTGATGATAGTCATTCTGTAGCAATATCTCATTATGGTTTTAATTTGCTTTTCTCTGATAATTAGTGACTTTGAGCATCTTTTTATGACTACTGGCCATCTGTATGCCTTTCAAGAAATGTCTGTTCAGGTGTTTTGCCCATTTTTTAATTGAATTGTTTTTTTGTTTGGTGTTGAGTTCTATGAGTTCTTATAAATTTTGGATATTAACTTCTTATCAGATGTATTACTGGCGAGTGTGTCCTCCCATTCAGTGGGTTGTCTTTTCATTTTGTTGATCATCTCTTTGCTGTGCAAAAAACATTTTAGTTTAATGCAGTCTGGTTTGTTTGTTTATTTTTTTGCTTCTTTCCCTTGTCTGAAGAGATATATCAGAAAAAAATATTACTAAGGGAAATGTCTGACATTTTACTGCCTGTATTTTCTTCTAGGAGTTTTATGGTTACAAATCTTCCATTTAAGTCTTTAATTCACTTTGAGTTTATTTTCGCATGTAGTGTAAGAAGGTGGTCTAGTTTCATTTTTTACATGTATTTGTTGTTTTTCAAACATCATTTATTGAAGAGGCTGTTTTTACCTCATTATATGTTCTTGCCTCCTTTGTCAAATATTAATTGACCATAGAGACATGGTTTTATTTCTGTGATGTCTATTCTGTTCCATTGCACTGTGTCTGTTCTTATGTCCATACCATGCTGTTTTAAGTACTATATCCTTTTAGTATAATTTTGTATCAGGTAGCGTGATTTCTCCAATTTTGTTCTTTTTTTCCTCAAGATTGTTGTAGTTACTCAGTGTTTGTTGTAGTTTCATATAAATTTTTGGATTATTAGCTCTAGTTCTGTGAAATATGCCTTTGGTATTTGGATAGGAATTATACTGAATCCATAGATTGCTTTTGGTAGTATGGCCATTTTAACAATCTTAATTCTTCCTATCCATGAGCATGGTATATACTTCCATTTATTTGTATCATCTTAATTCTTTCTTCAAGGTCTTATAAATCTCCAAGTATAGGTCTTTTACCTTCTTGGTTAAATTTGATGCAGTTGTAAATTTGACCTTTTTTTTAAAAGATTTTATTTATTTATTTATTTTAGAGAGGGGGGGAAGGGAAAGAGAGAGAGAGAGAAACCTCAATGTGAGAGAGAAACATCAATCTCATACATGCCTGGACTGGGGACCCGACCTGCAACATGGGCATGTGCCCTGACCAGAAATCAAACTGGTGACCTTTTGCTTTTGAGGCTGGTGCTAAACCAATTGAGTTAGCCAGTCAGGGTGGGATTGTTTTCTTAGTTTTTCTAATAGTTCATTATTGGTATATGTCTTTGATGTTTTATATTAAGTGAATTTTCTAACCCTTAGCTACTATGATGAGGGATTGTAGGTTTTGAAATTCAAAGTAGGAAACCCTAGAGTTTGTAAAGTGTGTAGTCTTCCTGCCTTCCGTCCTTCCTAATATGAGGTCACCATGCATATAAAACACACTCAAGTGTAAGGTAGTAAACGGAATCCTGCCTAATAGCACTCTAGATAATTAAGTGAAAGGTTTGTGTCTGAGTCACCAAGAATTACATGGAGGTCCTTCCTTGTGTCATGGTTGAGGGGCACTGAGTAGGTGCTTATTAAAGTGTCAGTTCAAGAGGGATTTTTTAATTATAAAAAGTCATATTAGCTTTAATGTTGCAATACTTTTTAAAATCACTTTTCAGTGTTTCTTTTGTCTTTTACTTAGACTTTATTGAAAGTTTTCTTTGTTAGCTAGCAGCATTTTAGTTGTGACCCTCCTCCGACTCCCCTAAACATAGAATGCAATTTTTAGTTATTGTAAAAAAAAAAGGCAAAATTGTCTTTAAAATTTTGATATTACGTTGAGCAGTGATTATTGTTTGAGTACTTTTAGTTGAATGAAATGTGCTAAGTTACATAGATCTGTATTTTTTAAAAATGTGAGCACTTTGGATTTATACATAGCTTAATGCCCCTTTTATATTTAACATTATTTTTTAGGTTGCTTATTTAAGTAATAAACAGGAATATTTAAATATGTAGGTTCAATACAAAAATTTTAGTTTAGGAGATGAAATGCAAAATACAATAATTTTTGCTGTTTGGGGGCTGAAATACAAAAATACAAAATTATAGCCATTTAGGAGATGATGTGCATATTTGTATATTAATAATCTTTTATTAAACCATGTAAATTAACATTTTTGAATCAATTCTAACTTTAGGATTATTTTTTGTGCCTCTGTAATACATTCCGGTGGGCTCATTTATTAATTTTATGAGTAGCATACGTAAATTTAGTTCATCTGCCTATTTATATGCTTTAAATAGACCAATGTAAACACTTCTTATCTGCCATATGTTGGAATGTTTTACTAAAGACAAAACTCTCTAGTCAACAAAGATGGCATTGAATTGCAGTGTTTTGGAAAAAAAGTTAAGTGAACTAAATGCTTGTTAATCTGGTTCTTTAAATATCATAAACAAAAGTATCAGACTGTGTTTCCAAGGACAAAGGCAGAGTTTTCTGGGCTTTCATTGGTTGCTGCCTTGTCCTGTCCCACAGCCATCCTTAATTGGCTTTGGGAAGATTGGAATCACATACGCAGGGTGACATTTATTGCTTTCCTTAGTTGTTTCTTTGCACCGAGCCCTGAGATTCCCAAGGAGTAACTACAGAAGATTTCTTTCATTTTGTCCCGGTTCTACGAGAGGGGATCATTCTAAGAAGAGCAGGCATGAATTTGAGTGCGAGAAGAGTCACTCTGCCTGCAATAACGCCAATAGTTCTGCAGAAGAGGGTATGTGGCTGCTGTAGCCGTGTTTTCTTGCTGTTTTTTCCCCCGTTACTTTGTGTTTATTAATCTGTAGGAAACTTTAGTTACATATCCTGAGTGGGTCTATATTTCATTGAGGCTACAGGTAATTAAAGAATATATTATTGAAATGACAGTAGGGGTGATACATGCTGCTGTGGAACATCTCCGTAGTCAGAGCTCCATGTGAGAGCAACTTGGGCTGTTTCAGGGCATTGTGGTTTAAGGACTGCATCGAAGCTTTTTTCCCCCTTCCACTGTAACTTCAGGCCTCTTTGCTTTTCGTGGACTAGGAAATCTGCTAGCTATTATGTTTTAGATTTGTTTACAGAGGAACAGTGTATTTGTTTTACTATAATTTGTAGTACATCCATTATTGAATGTACTATATGATTGTTCTGCTATTTACACATTTGTCACCAGTTTATTTTTCTCTGTTTTCTACCAGTTTCTATTGAGTTTCTCCCTATTTACTTAAGAAAAACTTTCCATGAAATATCCTTTTGAAAGTGCTTTCTGTTAATTATTAATGCAGTCAAGCCTGTGTGTGAAAATAGTTTATTTGTTAGTTTTTTTGAAAGATTATTTCCATGTCTTACTTGTAGCAGTATATTTTATAAGGTAATAAATACACAGCATGATGTATTATTTAAGCGATACTGAATATACTGAGCTTATCTTGAAAATACACCTAATAAGAATATTGTATTGAATTCTTTAAAGAATCAACTCTCTTGTGTAGAAAAAGAAAGCACCAAAACACATTTTTGGCAATATTCTCTCTGAATAATTTTGGTGCTACTAGAAACTGCAATGTTTGTTTTCATACTTGACTTTTAATAGTTAACTGTTAGTTAACTATTAGTGTATTCCATTTAGTCAAAGGTCATGGTTTAATTTATTTGAAAATGACAGCTCTAACAATTAAGGTGGATTTTAAAAATAGAAGGGTTTCTTCTCTTTTGTTTTAAATGTTCAACTTTTCAACTTATTTTCTTATCCTATCTACCCTTTACTCAGTTGGGACATTTTATTTGGAACTGGAATAGTATATGGTAATTTTGTCTGCATTTGTTCTTAATCTTTCTTGATTCATTTCTGTCATATTTAGCAAATTTAATTAAAATATTTTGCTTTGAGCATGAGTCTTTATTCCGATTATGACTGGGCAGTGCACTGATAATGACCATAGTTTCATGAGGGGTTGGGAATGTGAAAAGGCTTATTAACGTATATCAAATCTATGTTGTTATGTTTTTCTTCTTTATCCAGTTAATACTGCAGTTTAGATTGGCCATGAAGTGTTCACCACATGGTCCTTTTGGACACTGTGTTGGGGTGGTGGCGAGCATAACCACCTGGACTCTCCGTTCACGAGCTGTGTGACCTTGGGCAAATCACTTCATTAAGCTCTGAGAGATGTTCTTTTCCCACCTGTAAGATAATGGCTTAGAGAATTTCACTAAACGCTCTCTTAAGTGTTGTTTGCATCTAATTGTGTGAATTATATCAAATAATATATTTTGTATTTTCATAGGTACAGTAAAGTATTTAAGCCACTTTTTATTTTCTTACAGTATTAAACATTAGACAAAGATACATCATTTTTAAAGACATTGAGCAGTTAGTTACCCTGGGGAAATTGGTATGAGTACAGCTGGCTCTGACTGGAAACCTTGGGCTCTGGAAAGCTGACTATAACGGCTGTTAGTTCTAAGCTGGACACATCACTGGACACATCACTGTGACTTCTCTTGGACTATTTATAAGCTTCTTGCTGGATTTCTATTATAGTAATTATGTAAGTCAAAATTCCCTAAACCCAAATCTGTCTTAATCTTTTCCATTGAGTGAACTATTAAATGCTCATATAATTTAGCACATTATTTATTGGTTGCAGAAAGTACTTATGCTCCTTCTTTCACCTGACATTTTAACCTCCAAAAGACCCATTGCCTATAAAACTGTTCTGCAAATGTTAATGTATCTTATTTTAGGAACTGGATATTTTTTCTGACTAAAATATATCTATCCGCTCTGGTTATACCATGACTTTTTTTCCAGCATAGAAAATTATTCCACACTTATGATTAACTTGTCATTTTTTATATGCATCATAATAAGATGACCTTACAAATCAGTACAAGCATTTCTCAGAATATTCTGAGGGGAGCTTCTCATTTTCCACAAAAGGCAGGTACTTTTGCTACAGGTTGTAATAGAGTTTGCTCATCCTTAATGAGTAGTTCTCACAAAATAATTTGCCAGTTGGAATCCCAATCATTTGAAAAGCTGAGTGCATTTCTGAAAATGCTTAGTAGCACTAGGGAGTAAATTTCTAATCAGCTCATGTATGTGGCCAAAAGATCCTCCTGAGAGTGGTTAGGGACTTGAATTTTAAATATGGTCCTCAACATTGTATGGGTCCTTTTTTATAGCAGAGAAGATACAGTTTGATCTTTGAAGAACAGAGTATTTTGGTAGAGTCCCCATGAAGCAAATTGGAAATAAATTTTTGGCTTCCTCTAATTGTATTTAGAATAGATTGCCTTGATTCTAGTGAACTGAGATTCTAGTGAAGATGGCTTTATTATATCCTTCACAAATTATTGTAACCTCAGCAATAGTTTTGAATGAATCCTTTACTTTATAGCATTTTTCTTAGGTAACTACTAGGTTATGCCTTTATTTTTAAGAGGAGAAGACTGAGTCTCATGGGTATTGAATGACTTATGCAAGGTCACCCAGAAGGTCAATGTCAAAGCTGGAAATAGAATCTCGGTCTTGTGACTTTCAGTGTGTTTCTCCTAGATACGTGTTACCTCTTGAAATTAATATGTTAATGAAATGCCTCATGGTGTGTATAATTGCCATTCAACTTCTAGTCCAGAATTAGCTTAGTCAAATTCTTTCATCTTTCTTTGTATCTCCACCAACTCCTATATGCTCTAGTGTAGAAAACATTTTATTCAGAAAGCAACAAAGTGAGTGTGAGTGATTTTGTGTGTGAGAGAGAGAGAGAGAGAGAAAGAGAGAAAAGACAGTTTTAATTCAGAGCTCTAGATTGGGACATTGCATCAAAAAAACATCGTAAGGTCCCAGAAAGTTAACAAAAGACTCAAGCATTGTAAGGTATAAATGCAATGCAATATAAATATTTTAAAATATTTTTTTCAAACCACATTTTAAATAAAAAGACTGAGGGTCATAAGGCCAGATGTCCAGTTTCTGATTATGTGGGTAGGAATATTTCATGACTCTCTCAGATTAATATTGTTTTGCAAATTACACTTACAAGCATTTCTGCATTCTTTAGTCATACTATTGTTACAGAGCTGTTGATAAAAACAGATCTGAAATCTCAGGAAAAAGGGATAATGTTTAGAATATATTTTTCTTAAAATTTATATCCTCTTAGAAATATGAAATTCATGAGTATAATATTGGAATAATGTCATTTATCGGAAGATTCAATTCCCCATCTTAATAAGACATTTGTTTCTTTCTTCATACGATAAAAATCATTGCTATAATTAAAAAAATGATTTTGTAAAGAATGAAACAGATCATACCACTCCTTTGTCCAGAACCTTTAAAATACATGCAGGATCAGTCCAGATGTGTGCAACATCCAGTCTGTGTCAGGGACTGATGGACACTGCCGTCTCCCAGCTCCATGTGACGCCTCCATTCTAGCACATCGTTTTTTTTTTCTTGTGCTCATAACAACATTTGCTGCTTGTCCCTCTGTTCTTCTGGTCCCAGCCTTGTGCTCAGTGGCCTGTAGATAACTCTAGGCTCCTGTTTGCTTTTCCAAAGGTTGTTTATTGTCTCTGTTCCAGCTCAGACTGTGGTACCATCTTGAAACCTTTTGGTAGTCTGTTGCATCTACCTTCATGGTATCTTGATTCAGTCTCAATGGACATGCCTTTGTTACTCCAGTAACTATTGTCATGCAACATCAATTTTATTGTTACTTTGTATGATATTTAAGTCTTATTAGCTATGCCTAGGTGTATATCTTATGCTTTCTTACTTTTAAAATTTGACTTTAAATCTTCTCTGTGGATCTTGTATATTTGTGTATATCTTATGCTATTCAGTTTTTAAAATGTCTTTTTTTTTCTTGCAACTAGATTTTCAAAATTTAAGAGAAAGGTTCTTTAAACACAGTGCTTTGCCAGTTACAGGCTGAATATAACAACTTCATGTAATCAGTAAAACTCAAAAGAAGTATATTAAACAGGGGAGAGATTTATTTTTCTTTTACTTTACATGTACAAAAAGAAGAAAAAAAAGAATCAGTTTCAAGTAATGTAGCAGCCTCACAATGTCCTCAGGCAACTAAGCTCCTTCTTGCTTTCTATTATATCTTCCTTAGTGTGGGTCCCTTTTCCTTGTATGGGAAGATAAATGCAAATCTGCAGACATCCTGTTCATCCTGGCATATAAAATGGGAAGGACACAGGGCATGCCAGCCAGTTCTGTCAGATGGTAATGTGCCACTCTGAAATAACCAGGAGCTTCTGCTTACATCTTACTGGCCAGGATTGCATCACATGGTCAACCCTGGACTCAAGGGAGGCCAGGAAATGTAGGCCTTGAGCATAACACACAGCACTCGTCAGAATCAGGATTCATCAGGAAGGGAGAGGGCAAGGGTGGCCCCTGCCCTCTAGCCATCTAGCCATCTCCACTACAACTAGCCATCTCCACTACAAGTGCCTTAGACATAATAGGCATTCAGGATATATTTGTCCCTTGGATTTTTATCATTGTCATGACAGGTACAAAATATGGTTGTGATTCTTGAACAAATCTATTTCTATTATTTGTATGCAGAGAGTGGAAGATGTGCTGAATTGGGAGAGAGCAGGTTTCCTCAGTAGGGGAGGTTAGTGGAAGTCCACAGATGGCGCCCTGAGTTCAGATAGATGGCTTGTTTGGAAGGTGGCCATGATGGGGTAGTGAGTATCATTATTGCTGTTTACCCAGAGTTCTCTTTCTTGCCAAACCTTGACCTTTCTGCTGCCCATTTAATTTTTTATACTGGGCAACTTACTTGCATAAAGACATAGTGACTAAATTGTATGTTAGAGACAGGACTGTAGGAGTGTTTAGAATTTCCTCAGAAATGCATTACTTGCTTTCAAAAATTTGTAAGAATAACGTCTAATATCAACTGAGTGCTACCAGTTTGCCAGCATCTTTACAGTTGAGGAGTCTAAGGCTCCTAACTGGTAAGCAGGTCTAGGACCTGCTCATAGAGCTGACCCTGGAGTCTGTCATTGCCATGAACACCTGGACTGAACTTGCATGAGAATAGGGTCCATACCCCATAGCATTGTCTAAACCACAGTGCCCACTCCAGGTTTGGCAATGAAGGCAGGTTAAAAATAGCCGGCTGATTAACAGTCTCAGACTTTTGGCTCGGGCCAGCCTGAGGGCTGGCTTTCCTGGCTAAGCCCCAGCACCCTAAGCCAAAACTAGAGAATAAGAATCTCTCTTTGGCAGAAAAGGGAAGCAAGACCTTTGGTAATTTCAGATATTAAACCCTCTGAGAGAATAAAGATATTCTACCCCTGTAGGATATTAAAAATATTTTCTTTTAAGACAGTTCCAAAAGAGAAATTGAAAAATCATTTTGGCAAAAACAGCATTGTTGGGAAGTGATTATAACTTCTGAATTGGATGTGCATATTTGGACATACACATTTATTTGTGCTTGTGAAAGTGTCAGGAGTATTACTTTTTAGTTTCAGAAGTCAAATTAGTTTGAGTAATTCTGTCAAGATTTGAAGAAAAATTTTGATATTACCATTCTGAATGCTGGAGAGAACTCCACTTAGATTCCTGGTGAGGTGACCACACACACTCCAAATCCTCTTATTGAAGTTTAAGATGTAGGCATGATTTACATTTAAAAAGTCAAAGAGTTAAGACTATTTAAAAATATATTTAAACTTTACTACAAAGCTTATAATGACATTAGGCAAGAACGCCATAGGGTTAATAGTGTTAAAGTTGTAATTTGCAAAACACCACATTTCTTTTTCTCCTTGTACCCACTGACAAATCAAGGCTCCCTCTGCTGGCTGTTGCGTTATATGCAATTTTCCTGGCAAATTATGCTAAGGAAAGTGAAAATACAAAGAAAAAAATAACCGTTTATTTTTGGCATTCAGAAAGGTAGATCTTTGGGACATAAAAGCATTTTTATGTCCTGGTGTATAGTTATATAATACTTGTCTCCAAGATGCTGTGTAGAAGCAGCAGCTTAAGGCTGCCTGGCAATCGGGCGAGCTGAGTGGAACAGGATCAGTGAGAAAAGCCAGGGGCAGGGTCCCAGGGCTGGCTCTGCCAGTGACCAGACCAGCCGCAGGTCCCCTGGCAGGTCACACCCTTTCCAGCCGCAGCTGCTTCATTTGTCAAGTGAAAGGGTTTTACTGAATATTCTCCAAGAGCCCTTCTAACTGTTAGTATTTTATGATTCTAACAGAATTAATTTCATTTCTTTTGTAGGAGTATGGTCTATACGTGTTTCAGTGATATAAAATAAATATTCAGAAAGATGAAGTAAAGGCAAAATTACAAAGATGGATATAAATCATTTTACTCCTAGTGCTCTCACATCATGGGAAGGTTAGGTCTAAAAAGTGGTATTTTGTTGGGTATTATTATAGGTTTACCTCAAATGCCCCAGACAGACTGAACACAGCACATTTCATTGATTCTGCGGCACCTTAAATTATAAGATGCATCATTATTTTCTATGCTTCCCATTAAACCATGGCATACCACTGATGGTAAATTACATCCAAGTTTCAGTCAAGTTAAATGTGAGAAGATGTGCTTTTAAGAATCAGTGAAATAAGGTAGTTTCTAAAAGTGCTTCAGCTGATGCCAGCCAGCTCAAGAACTGGAGTAAAAAGTCCGATATGCTCTGGGCTCTAATCAGTCTCTTTCCTGCCCTCTCATTTTCCCTTTCTGTCTTCTAAACACTTCTTCCTCCCCTCCTCAACATGTCCCTTCTCGCTGTGTGAAACGGTTTTAACTTTTCTGCTTAGACATGTCTGATGGTTATTCTTGGAATAAAAGATTGCTTAAAAACTGAAATGAGATACTGGAATAACACTGTGTCCAACATAAGCTTGACCAGAGGCTTTTTTTTTGCTTTAAATATGAATAAGCATTAGCACTTGTGAAGGTTTCTTTCACTTCAAAGATGAATTAGTCAGCACTGGCATCTTTGCAGGAATTGCATGTGTTAAACGTACTGAGGTTTCAGAGAACACCCCTTGGATGAAGTCATTGGAAACATCAGTGTGGGATTTGTGATTTGACCTCCTTTACTATTCATACTGGATTCAGGTCCTAGAACAACACTTATACATACATATGTATATGTGTGTCCACTTGTGCATCATGGGTTAAGATATTTTTGGACGTAGTTTTTAAAGTTTGCCTTTTTTTTGTAATGAAATTGGAGCTTTTCTTTTGCCTTTTTAAAAACCACTTAACAGAGCAAACTGTAAAAGCTTCCAATTTCTCTTTGTAACATTGTACCACCCCCTTGAATTAGGGTCTTTCTGCCTTTTAAGGAAAAAGGAAGCCCAAGGAAGGGGAGTCTGCAAGGCTCTTGGCCTCAGGCAAGGTGAGCAGAAAGGTAAAGAACAGAGTAGAAGCATAGAGTAGAGCAAAGGGGCTTTAAGGAGACGTTCTGGGCCTCCCTTTGCCTGCAGACTGTCTTCCTTCTCTTGGTTGGAAGCCCAGACATGGCATGATTTGGCAGTGTCACTAATCCAAGCTACCAGGTGTAGCAGTGCTAAATCCTCTGCCCCGCCAAGTGTGGCGCATTTCCAGTGGTGAGCCAGCCCTACTGGGCCTCTTTGGCCTGGCCTGATGCTGGCTGGGAAACCAATTCATATCATCCTTGCCTTTGAATTCATATCCAGAACTCCTGGAAGATCTGTAGGGTTCCCAGTAACACAGGTCCTTTAAATCTGAATTAGTTTTTATCTTTATCAGTCATGCCCTATGATTTTCCTGTCGAAATGTAGTAATGTGTAAATGTACACAATTCAGTTTTTACAGAGATGGGATGGGGTGATCTGTCTTGTGACCTTGAAGATCGTAGACTAATGGAAAGAGCCTGGGTTAGTGGTGACTTGATGAAATGGCCCCACCAAAACCATGGGCTGTCTGCCTCTGATTTTGAATGTGAGGAAAAAAAATAAACGTCAATTTTGGAGGGTGTCTTTTTACTTACTTTTACTTAAATCTGTTCCTGAATGATTGAATCATCATGTGATTATTTACCCTTATTTTTTACATCTTTGTAATCACATTCTTGTAAAACTGTCTTTTAAAACTTAATTCTATATTTTCATCCATTGAGAAAAGGTACCTTGTCATGTATGCATCTTACAAATAACCCCTTCATGTGGCCCCCTCTGTAGTTTGCAGTGATGGGGAGCACTGTTCGGCTGTGCTGGGCAAAGATCTTCCTTCCACAGACACCTGTGATTCCTCATCTGGTCCTCGTAACTTTGTCCCTCTGCTCTTGGGAGAATATTCTGTGTACTGTTCTGTGCACATTTTTGTTTCTTCGGTCCTCAGGATATTTTCTCATAATATTTGTCCCACTCAGATACCCTCCGCCCTTCTTTTTTTCCAATTTCTACAGAATCCCAAATTTGAAATGGACCATAGAAGTTACCTGATCACCTTTGTTTCATTCATGTGTTGCATGAAACCTTGCCTGTATTTTCAGTTTGGTCCATGTGTTTTTCTTCTTTTTTAGAGGGTTTTCAGACCTTGTGAGGTTTCAAAGCTG